CAACTTAGTACTTCTGCTTACGTCACAAGCCATGACGTATTTGAGTGTTGGAAATGTGTGAGTGTTACTACAATTCCTCCGCTTTGTTAAATAGTGCGAAAAATATTTTTTTTTTCTGATAACGAGAATGCATCAAAAATATGAATAATATTAGTTTCGGCATAACTTTGCATTAGAAATTTTAAAACAGTCTTAGAAGAATGTTTTTAAAGTAGTAAAAGATATTGAAATATTAGAGATTTGTATGTACGCAATAAACGCGCTAAAAGAACAACTCTAGTACGCGTAATTCTTTTCTTTTAAAAAGAAAATTTCCAGTTTTATTTTTTAAGGAAGTTTATTTTTTTTATAATTAGAAGAATCCTCTTATTCAAACATAGAATAGAAAATTATAGAAATTTTTGAGAATAGTATTGAATAAATAAACTCATTTTTTTATAAAGTATTTATCTGTTATTCATTATTACACATACTGTATTTTCTTTACTATAAATTATTTTTAATATGTACTATATTTATTATGTATATATCTTATTTTTTTGAATTGTTATTTTTATAATTTTACTGTAAAACTTTTTCATTTCTAATATAAAAACGTTTTTGACTATTTACTTTAATTATATATTAATTTTTAGTATAAATAAGTATTCAATTTATTCAGATATACAAATAAAATTAGAATAAATAAAAAAAACATATTTTAACAGAAAATTTTATTTTATTGCAAAAAAATTACATTTTTCTTGATGATCCTTTTTTACTTTTAGAGCTTTTGTGATGAAAACATTTTTTTACCTTTTTAATTAATTCCTTCAATAATTTTACATGGATCAAATTAAGTATGCATTCTCAATTTTTATAATCAGCTGTAGGCTTTTGGGAGAATTTTTTATAAGATATTACATAAGAAAAAACACAATGTTTTAATCATTTGCTCTGAATTTTTGCTAGATAATTTTTAAACTTTAAAATATGTCAAATTTTACAAGGTTGCATTTGATCAATATTTCACTGTTTCATTTAGTTAAATATTCAATTATCGATTGGTATATTATTCAATCCACATGTACTTCCTAATACTTCATTTTTTATTCTGTATAGATTTTTTGCCCATGTTTAAAAAAAAATAGTTCACATAACTATTACTTAAAGAAAAATCCTATTCATTTGCATTATTCGTTTAAATCATTTTTGTGAAGAATTTAGCATTCGAAGTATGTTAAATGTAAAATACTATTTTTTTAATTAAAAAATTTTTATTTAATTTTTAAATATTTTTCCCTAGGCATAACATTTATTTGTGGCACATGAAAAATTAATGTAAAAATCTGTTTGAATATTATCATTACAAATCCAAATGATTCAAAACTTGAAAGTAATCAATACATTGCCTCATTAATGGTATATTCTATGAAAAGTTTCTTTTTGTCAGATTTATAAGTAAAGTATTCTTTTCTAATGTATATATTTTCTAACATATAATCTAGAATCTATTTTTGTTGTATAATTACTGTGGTATCTAAAACTGTTTGTGTCATTTCTATATTTGTATATATTTTTGCATGCATTGCATTCTTTATTTGTACATATTTCTGCATGAAGATTGCATTTGTATGTATTTTTGTATACATTTAACCTTAATAATGATTCATTGATTACAGCAAAACGTTGCTAAATTTACATGTTTTTTTTTTTTATTAATATGCCTCTAATGCTTTACTTTTCATATTTTCTTTGCAAGTAAATGTTTCTCTTGCCATTTTATCTGATTGAAAAGACTTTATATTGAGTCAGTTTTTACTTAGATGTTACATTGTTATGATCCTTTCATGAGTGTGGCGCACACAGGAATCTTTCGGGGGTCCGGGGTCGAAAGTTCACCATTCTTGTATCATGCTCCGTTTGATTTTGTCGATTTTCGGGAACAAAACACAGTAAAAAACTAGTTTTTGAATAAATAATTAGCATTAATTAATAAAATTAATCATTAATAGTAATTAATTAATTTTGCGTACTATATACTTAGAATTATAATCAATCGTGAAAAAAATCAAGGGTTTTGAGGGGGGTCCGGACCCTAGGACCCCCTCCTTGTGTGCGCCACTGTCTACGACCTGAAAAGAAATAAATGCCGTAAGCTTTAGATTCCTGACAGCCACTGCGAGTTGCAAAGCATTTCCTCCTTCGTAACGTCATCAAAACTCTGTCGTGGTCTGTTCCTTCAAGGTGACCTTGCCCGGAGTGGGGCACAATAGACATTTCTTTTAGCCATACGATGTCTGGTGTCAGCTATCCAAAAGGGGAGACAGGGGTAGTAAATTTTTGGTAAATAGAGAGCAAAAGAAAATGTTTTGTTTTAGTCTTGAGTGTAGTTACTATAAGTAAAAATAAATGCTTATGACACCACCATCAGTAAACTCTTTTTCGAAGAAATTGGCCTGCTGGAATGAGCAATTCCTTCTCTTACATTTTACTCGCTTGAAATAATACATAGTTATGTCCGCAATTTGGAATTATTTTGAATTTTTTAAGACTGAAAATAATATATATATTGTTATGCTGCTTTTTTTTATTACAAGATTATGCAAAGTTTTATAAGTGTGTATCCATGTGAAAACTTTAACTTTTTTAATTATAATTTTTGGCATTGGAGAGAGGGGCGGCAAAACTGACAGAGCCGACCCTGCTGACACGCTGAAGAATATTCGTAGATTGGTTTGGCACGCCACAGCTAAAAAGTTACTTACCCTGCGCTACATCATAACATAATTATGCTTATTTATGTCGATGAAAATAGTGTGTGAGATAATTGCTTTTCTCTCTATAATACTTAATTCCCTTGATTTCGGTGACACTCAGTCCTTTTTCCATGACGCGCGATTTTGATTTTTATCTCTTTCCGGAGATTTTGCGATTTCTTCTTATATCACAAAGAAAATTTTTATTTTAGCTACTTTTTATAAAAAGTTGCAATTAATATAAATATGTATATACATAGGACAGAATCACAACATTAAGTGGCAATTAATTTTTATATATTATCATTAAAGTATCACATTGTAATCTCTCCAAAACAATCGGGTATATAAAATTTCAGTTTAACGGAATGCTTTAAAAAAACGTGAGGAAAAAAATACTTTAAAGTTTTGACCCTAGTCACTAAAAAGGAAACCAACGTGACTGTGTCTGTAATTTTTTAAATAATTAGTTTCAGGCGATTGATTTTAAATAAGTCATCGTATTTTCACCCAAAACAATCGCGTATTGAAAGTTTCAACTCAAATGAGCGCTTTAAAATGTGATAAAAAAAACCTTTTCAAGTTTTTACACAAGTTGCCAAAAATGATGCCGACGTAGCTGTATTTGTAATTCTTGGAATAATTAGTTTTAATCAATTTTTATTAATTATAATTAAACTACTGTATTGTCATCCAAAATAGTCGTGTGTATAAATCTTCAGCGCTTTAAAATGTTATTTTATTTCTATAGTATGATTGCAAGGTTCGCTCGACGAACTTTGGTGACGTTCTATTAATGATTGAAAATTTGAAAAAGATAAATGCTAAGAGCTAATACTGTGTTTAGGAATTCAGTTACCCCGACTCTCTTTATTTTGCTATTTTAGGGGGAGAGAAAAGCGCTAACTTTCAAAATCTGACATTCTTGTATGGGGGTTTGTCCTTCAAGTTTGAGACCAAAGTCATCTGGATTGATCTTGTGACGTCTTACGCGTCTTTTCTTTAACAAGTCCCTTGGGTTCTTTGGGCCAGAATTAATGGCAACTCTTTTCCAACCAAATCCAAGAAACGAGATGTGAAGAAGAAATGCAAATAAACCGACTTTAAATATAGGATCTTAGAGTAAGCGAGATGGCAATGTAAAGGAATGTTAGACAATTGATGTGCGTTGTGGCAGTTGATTATTGCAGTTCGTGGTTCACGATTTAAGTTCTACGTGTCGTGGATAAACATATTGGTGTTCGACTAGAAGTTAGTCGTCAAGCTGCATACCATTGCAGATAAAGACAAGTAGCAGTATACGGAATAATATAAGGTGGGATTGATTACTTATTAGTATAATTGAGGATTAGGTGGTTCGCTTATTGAGATTGGTCTGAATTATATTGTGTGTTGCGTCATCGTAGATTCTCTCATATTAATTATTATAATTATGTTTGTTAAAAGTTTAAGTTGAATATCTTAATAAAGTCATATCAAGATAATGTAGGATTCGAGTTCTTTCGCTAATCCTACTCCTCTAGCTCACGCTGGTACTTCGAGGGATGTACTTCCAAGGGGAGGTACATCACAACCTTGAAAAAGAAAAGGGCAGAGCTTTTGTTTGTATGACCGGAAGAAAGAAAATATGTGATTATTCTCTTGCTGCAACCGGATTGGTTACAGTATGCTGTCGAAGTCGGCTGTACGATGTGCGAGGATGCCAAGCACCGGAGTCCGCGATCGAGCGGGAACCTCTACAACAGGATCAATGACTGAAATTTTGAAATAATTTGTGACGCCGCTTTCAGCTTTTTATATGAATAATTTTTGGCGATATTGTGAAACATTTATGGAAAAAGACGGAAAACTCTACAAAACCATTTAAACCAGTGGCCGCCAACCGTAAGAGCTTTACGGGTCACTGAATGTATAATTTTATCATTATATAGCATTAACCCAGTGCTTCTCAAACTTTCAGTATAAGCGACCCAATTTTCTGTCATAATTTTCATCGCGCCTCTTCCGTATAATAGCATTGTATTGAATGCAATAATAAGGTAATTGGATACGAAAGATACAATGAGACTTTAATTGTAAACCGCACAAATTACCAAAAAAAATATTAAATCTTCAATATAATTTTTGTACATGACAATATCCCATGGGAGTCAGTATTAATTTTTAATTTTTTTTGTTACTATTTATATTCATTAATTAAATATAATTATTCTAATAAAATAATATAGTAAAAAAGAAATCACATTCTTATAGAAATCAGGTAATCCCAGGTGGGATTTAAACCCATGACCTTTGGATTGGAAGTTCAACGTGCTATCCATTGCACTACAGGGACACAACGAATGATTTTTCTTTCTATATATGCTGTTGGACTATTATTTTTCTTTGTTGTTATTTATTCATTTTTTAATTTAATTGATGAATTAATATTAAAAAAAACTTAACATCAAGTGTCATCCACTACACGTTTTAAAAAAATGTATTTGAACTTGAATGGATAAAAAGAAAGTATTTTATTAACGATTGGAAATTTGAACAAGATATATATAAACATAGAATTGAAAAATCAAAAACCGGCAATGCAATTGCCAACTCTCATTTTCAAATGTTTCTAAAGCACTTTTGCCCATGCAAAAGTATCTAAGAAGTCGTTAGATTCAGATTAAACTTCGCAAAAAGTGGCAGCTAAAATATTTAAACGTATAATCCACATTACATAATCCGTTTTATAACTCGTCATTTCTAAAACTGAATCTTGATAAAAATTGATTTTTGGGGACTGTCAGAAATTTTTTACGGTTTGGCAGTGGACAATATTCGTTTGAAAGCCAAAAAAAAAAAAAAAAAAAAAAAAATTAGGTTACGGCAGTGGGCTTCTAACATTTTCGACTCTCAGAACTAAAAGGTGTTTTCAGGGAACCCCATTCCACTTTGTCATATAATTTTCTCATTAAAAATTTTAATTAATACCCAAAGTGTTCACCTACACAACATTATAATTAGTAACTGAAATATTTGCTTGCATTTTTTACTCCAACTGTCAAAGTCTATTGAAATTATCTGCAGCTACATTTAGTTTCCGTAGACTCACATTGAGAAATGTTTTTTACCGAGTACATTGTTCTGAATGGCATCAAAATGTTGACAGTTATGTGAGAAATCCTGTGCATTTTGCAACGAAAAACTTAGGAGCCATTCTTGCTTAAATTTAAATTTTAACGTTTAATTGGTAGATATGTCAATAAATTGTGTGTGTTCCATTGCCTTCATTATAGGTGTTTTTTTTACCTCTTATTGAAAAAAGGGGCATTTTCCGTTGAGAAACTATTTACTTTTTTAAGACATTGTAAGTATAAAATTATTTTGTGGATCCCAGGATAGTAGACAATAGAATATTCACATTAGAGTAAGCATTACATATAAAGAAAAAAACGTTTTAATACTTTTTTAAAACATTAAAATAAGAGTTTAAAAAGTATAACAAAATAAAGTTCTCTTGTATAAATAAAATTTTCAGCTTTAGAAACTTGGTTTTATACAAACTTAATAGAGAATTTAAATCCATTTTGCATACAAATCTGTAATTTTCTTTTCATTTTTTTTTTGTGTGTGTGTGACTCGTGAAATCATAGATATGCCTCGTGGACCCTAGGGTTCCATGGAACACAGTTTGAAAACCACTTAGAAGTTGTTCTGCTTTAGAGTCTTTTGAATTTTCTCTACTGTTGTGTAAGTGTGTGAATAACCGCTTGTGATCCCATAATATTATATATTTATGTATAATAGTGTTTTCTGGTCCGTCACACACCGTTCGAACACTAACGTTGGCATCAAGTGCGCGATTTTTTCCGGGTTAATTAATTTCTATTACCATTGGACAAATTGGAGATTTTTAACAGCCATCCTCCACGAATACTGATCGAGCAAACTTCGCTTTTACCACTCGACCAATCACATAAAGTGTCATTTTTTTCCCCGCACCCACAATCGGTTAGCACAGAGATTCCCAAACTTTTTTGTCTCACAGACCCCTTGTCAAGTTTTTTGATTTCGGGTAGACCCCTGCTTAACTAATATTAATTTTTTGCAAATTTATCAACTTGAATGTCTGTTTGATAGTTGGTGCTACAATTTTGAAAGAATTAAATTTCTAACTGCAATGAAGTATAGCGTTTAAATGGTAGAAACAAATTGTACTTAAATTTGAATTTCTGAATTGCCTCTTATAAGGAACTCTCACATCAAGAACATGATAAGTTTCGGTACAAGTCTAAATAGAAAACGTCATTTTTCTGTGAAAATTGTCATTAGAGCTCTTTTTCATAAATTGTTATAATCTTTTTTAACCACATCTCCATTTCTTATTTTATAAATTAATGTTGTTATTTCTGGTATTTATGAAAACACGACAAAACTGTGTACTAAGAATTCCATTGTATACGACATAAACTGGTTAGGGAAGCAACTGAAGACAAAAAAGTATCTGATGTCTCCCTCTTGGTCCCTCCACAATGGAGGAGGGGGGGGAGGGAAAGAAGCCCAATCTGTGGTTTTTATGTCTGCTTGACCCGTTTGCCCTTCCTCACTGTTCAAAGACGAATATTGCTCATCGTACATTATGCAAGAAAAAACTAGTGCATTCTAGCAGTCCCTTTAGCTGTTTAAAAGTAATTTCTACTCCTACCAAAGAATTTCTTCTTTTTTGTGATTTCAAAGAATCAGAGAGCTCGTTGGCTTCTTCATATTTTTAAAATCCAATAATTTATGTTTATTTATAAGAGTTACTATGTTAATTAAATATCTTAAATGAACGCACAGTTAAAATATTATTAGTAACACAAAAATACACATACTAATAAAGGCTGAAATCTGTGTGTGCTTATAACAAAGTGTTGTTTTATACATCAGTATATAATTTCATTAATTCAAGTGATTAATATACATTTATTGAAAGTATATAATGTATATGTATATATATACTACGTTATTTTATTTAAAAGACCAATTTTAAAAATGAAATTTTATAAATAATTAATTTAAATCCTCTTTCTTAGACATGATCCATAAAAAGATAATTACATACTTATCAAAAAAATTAAACCTTAATCACAGAATAGCTAACCATGAATTGCAGTACTAAGAGTGTCAAAGTGATGTATGACAATTAGACTTATTCTATGCTGCATATGTAAAGTAAAATTCAAGTTTTGATTCATACATTTATTGATTTTAGTAACTATAATAATGATTTATTATTAATACCATTACATTGCAGTCAGAGATTAGCTCCAATATGATATAATTATAGGTTAAAACGATTTTTGTCTCATAGAAAATTACAAGCTATTTTACAACCTTCTTCAGTTGGAAAAAATCGTATTAAAAAATTAGAGATTAACAGACATTATTAGTTTCTGTTTTATGACTTTACAAATTTTAAATGTGTTTTTCTTAGATTTTCATTTTGGAAGATATGAAAGGGCTTTCTATTCAATAAAAAAAAATTCTGTTCAAGATAATTTTGAAATTTTTTGAAGATACTTATATATACTTATCTGTTCCATAAAAGTTTTATATAAATTTAGATCTCTGAGAACTCTAGCTACTTTTTTAAAACATTTAAACTAATATTTTTAAAATGTTTCATATTTCTTCCAGGTTTCCAAATTTAACAATATTCATGCTTTTTCTCGGATTATCTATAAGAACAATTGTTACAATTCAACAAGGAAACAGGTTTTCAATTTTATCCCAATTTAAGGAAGCACAATAAAAAGGATGCTTAATTTGGAAATTAATTCGATGAATATAATTTAGTCGGCCCTCCATTTTGCGAACCTCTTATCTTGCGAATTTCTCTATTTCCCGAACTTTTTCCTGGAACCAAGAGCATTTTATGATTTTCTTCGTCAAATAACCTCCAAATAGATAAGTGCATTTTCCATTTATCGAACTTTCTCCTCTTAGGATTCGAGTTTTTTTTCTCTCTGTTTTTGAAATACTTTTGGACCTTTGTGTGATGTAATGGACAAGCAAAATCATTTGAAACGATTAAACTTGAATTGCGTGAAAAAAATACGCCTGATGAGGTATTTCGTGCACTGCAAAGATGCGAGGAATGAGAGAAAACATTTTTTTTAAAACGAAAAAACTCAAACGAAATTAATAGACTTAACCAGTAGTTAAATTGAAGGACACGCATTCTTAAAATTACTGGTCATAAAATATCCATGTTTAAAATTACTTTTAGGCTTAAAATTGGAAAATTTCATTAAAATTCATTAATCATAATACAAAAGTACTTTTTTAAAGTTGGAAATACTGAGTATTTCTTGACAAAGTTGGTTTTTTCCCCCTGCTTTCCTTGCCGAATTCTTTTTGATAGGTAAGATATGTAAAATAAATAGATATTAACTTACAAAAAAGAAGTTGTACGAACAATTAATTTTATAATAATGTATAATTATGTGAATTTAAAATTTGTTTTAAGTGGTTTTTAAACTATATTGAAAGATAAATCACCATTTCACGAAATTTTCCAAATAACGAACTTTTTCAGGTTTAACGACAACTGTAATTTAGTGAAAGTTTTGTCATATTTTCATGCGTATCGGAAATAATAAAATTAATTTGTAAAACAAGAAATATATAGATGTGTTTGAAAACAGAATTATTCAAACTATTTGTGAAAAAATTGCTCTAGGTTATTTTCTTAGAAAAGTAACATTTTCTTGGGAAAGACTCAAATTGAAAATGATTATGTCCCTAATTCAGTGCTTCTCAAGCTTTCAATACTAGCGCCCCCCCCCCTTTTCAATGACAATTTTTATCGCGCCCCCTTATACATTAATAATGCACTTAGACAGTAAAGCTGTGAAGGTCTCCTAGGACCTCACTTTGAGAACGAGAATAAATAGGAGTCATGTAAGTACCAGTAGCCATTTTTATAAACAACTTTCTTTATTTGGTTATCTTATCCAAATAGAATCAAAGACTTATTAACAAATTTGACTACTAATATTATGAGGTTTTAAAGGTAATATCCTTTAAGTTAACTTAATTAATTAATGATCCAATTAATTAATTTATTAAATAACGATCACGCAGAAATTACCACGATAAGAGATCCAAGAATTATAATTAATAATGTTCTTATTGAACATTTAACTTTAATCTCACTCCTAAAACTTTAATGAGACTTTAAACACAAAACAATATTTACCACTCGGAATCTCAATTCTTGAGATTAAATATCTCTAACAAAAAATCTTCAATTTAAATCCACGATATCTTTCTGCTTCAATCTCTATCTCCTACTGCTCTAACTTTACTATT